GATAAGTTGGATTGATACAGTAACTGGTGTAATGGAAGTAGGTGTGTCAGAGTCAGTGAGACTGGCTCAGGACAAGGCCAACTTCAGAGCTGCTGTTCTTAGGGTCACAATGATTGCAGGTGAATTGACAGCACATCATAGCAACAACAACAACATTGCAGGGTGTTTAGTCTCCATGACTGCTGCAAAACAGTTTGCTATACATTTCCTCTCATTTCTGTATGCCTTGCAAGCAAGGTACTAACAGTTCCTTGTTTCAGACCAACTTTAAAGCATATTTATAAGGCAAACAGCCTTGGAAGCTCGAAATAGTGTCTTCATTCACATTCCTACTGTCTATTATAAAATATTTGGGTTGGCTACTTTTATGTTTGTTGTTGCTGGACAATGATTAAGGATGACAGAAGAATTGATACTTTTGAGTTGTGGTGCTGGGGAATGGAACGAAACATCCCATGGTCTGCCAAGAGAACAAATAGATATGTGTTAGAGAAGGTGCAAGCCATTTTCCTTAGAGAAAAGGATGATGAAACATTGTCTTATATACTTTGGACATGTTGTTAGGAGCAACCAGACCTTCAAAAAGGAAATGATGCTCAGAAAAGTGAAGGAGGGGAAGGGAAGACCCTCAATGAGATAGATTGACACAGTAACTGTAGCAGTGGGCTAACATGTGGCAGAGAGAGTGAGGATGGCACAGGATAGAGCAGAGTTCAGCTCCGTTGTTCAGAGGAATTCTATGAGTCGATGAGATCTAATAACAATAGAAAACACCACCACAATTTCAGAGTTTCCCTCCTGTATTGCCTCCTGTTGTGTGTGTGCGTGCCAGGCAGCTCTCTTCACTATGAGTAACAAACAGGTTCATCCATGACCTTGACTGTTGAGTCTTCCATGAAAGTGAAACAGATGAATTTTTAGTTTACATGTAAAGTCTTAGATTTTTATTTTATTATTATTTTTTTCAGTTCTTGACACCCATTAATGCTACCATTCACAACGTGACAGCCAAAACCACTCACCAATATCCAAGCACCCAAGCTGGAAAGTCCCAGTTCCTGAAGAACTCTACTCCCATCCATGCCCTCATTACCTCAATAAGTGCATTTGCTACTTGGTTGCATCTAACTTACTTGACACCAGCATGCTGTCCTTCTTGTTGCAATCTGGTTCCCACGTCGGGATTTTTTACAGTCCCCTTTCCCTGGAATATCATCTTCTAAATCTTGACATGAGTCCGTCCTTCCTTTTATTGGGATCTGCTAAATGTTTCCTTTTCAAAGTAGCCTCCTCTGCTTTCTCTTCCCCCAGGTTTTATGTTATTTTCATTTTATCTTCTTATTTTTCTTTTTATGACTTCTTACTCTCTGGCTTATATTATTACTCTGGTCTTGGCCTGTGATCCCCACTTTAATATAAGTTCAAAGAGGGCAGGGCCTTGGTCTTAGGCATTGACAAGTATCCAGGGTTTAAAATAGTCCTCACAAGAAAGGAAATTATTTTTTATCTCTCTCTCAAACCCAACTTTATCATTTTCACAAAATGATAGTTTTTTTTCCAACACACAGTTGCCAAAAGGTAATAAACAGTATTACAGAAGTATGCATGGTGTTTTTGAGCAACAGGACATCTGTTTTCACTTTCACTTCAAGCAAGAAGTTCATTTTATTATAAACAGAACCTAGTTCTCTTTCTCCATGGCCAGAGATTGAGTAAGAACTTCAGTTCAAAAGAAAAGGCAGAATCAGAAGGGTTTTCAGGTTGGAGATGGAGGTACAGCACCAATGTGACCAATGCAGGAAATCAGGGAAGGCTAAGAACATGTACAGTCAGTAAGAAGCAAGGACATGTTTCCTGGACCAGACAGCTTCCCTGACCATGCTGGTCAAGATATCAATGGCTTGTTACTGTGGAGTAATGAAAACTATTACAGAAATGATTAGAAAGCCTGTACAGTTTTCTGTCCATATTAATGCAAAATGACTTTCATGAGCTTCTCATTGTGCACTGTCCCCACTGGGCCTCCCTGCTCTTTTCATCAAAAGGAATCGATAGAAGAATGGCTGAGGCTACCAATAAGGTCAGTGTTGGGAGGGAAAAGGATGATTCCCTTTCTTGGCCATTAAGAGGCAAGTTTACCTGCTCTGGATGAGGTGCGATATACCATGGTTATCAGACTTCTACAGTGGATGGAACAGCAATTTGGAAGTTTCAAAGTTTTGAGAACTATTAGGTAACTTTTTGTTTTGTCAAATAAACATAACACAATTTAAAAAGTACCAGCTCCAATGATCTGGTGAGGTCATAGTTGCAAAGATGGTGTCTCTCCGGCGGTTTCCAAGACAAGGTTCTTTTAATATGTAAAAAGAGGCATATTCTGTCGGTACCAAGGAGGGTCTTTTAAATTTTTCTTAAGCTAACACCATCATCATAATTTCCTAAAAGAGAGGGGATTTTTAATACTGAAAATAGGACGCATGTAATTTTAGTATAAAAGTGTTAATAAATTTCACAAGTTGAGCCTCGTAAAACACTCATTGCTTCATTTCATATTGTTCTCATTTCTTAGTGGACCCAAGAATACACCATCCCTGACCTAACCATGGATCTGCAGAGCAGAATCACATGTATGGGGGCTTGGAGAGAGTCTGAGACCAGAAATGTGAGAAAACAGAGATTGAGTGAGAGAAGGGCCGTTGGGTCGCATTATAGGCACAACACTACATCCTCACAGGGAACTGAGTCACCCAGTGACCTCCATTTCTCCAATTGTTTGGCAGTGTGTGTTTAGACACACATAGTATATGTGATAGGATTTGATTGGCTGTGAGTAGAGACAGTTATGTTAAGTGTAGCAGAAGGAGAAAGTGAAGTCAAACTGAAAACCCACATGAGAGTGACGTTGAAGTGATTGGTGGTTGGGTAAGGAAGAGTAAAGAGGAAGCTTAGGAGAGGACTGTTGATTAGAAAACAAGAATCAGAGGGTTAAGTCTTTATCTAGGCTTTAGTCTTTTTTTAACTTAGTCTACTTATCATCCTACTTTCCTCAATTTTTTTTTTCATTCTGAGAATTTTCTGCTTGAACTCTATCAAAGCCAGTATATCCCAGGATTTTTATTTTTAAATAGATGTAGCATAAAAACAAATGCTTAATATGGTTCATGAACCAGGTTAAGTTATAAAACCACAAGGAAGAGCTATGCTGTCTGTTCTTAGGAAGTCTCAAGCTGGTCAAGAAGGCAGACATATTTGCAGGTTGTTATAGTTATGCTACCTGAAAGGAAGCTCTGGTGGTCAGCTGGTAAGGAGCTGTGTTACCTATCCAAAGGCAGGTGGTTCAAAGCCACCAACAGCTCCTCAGGAGACGGATGGACAATCTCTTCCTGGAGGGTCAGCTTATTAGTCAGTTCCAACTCAAAGGCAAATGACAACAACATGCTACCTGCAAATGTGTAAAGGAGCTCTGTTAGCACAGTGGTTAAGCACTCAGCAGTAAACTATAAGGTTAGTGGTTAGAAGCCAACCAGTGGCTCCAAGAAGGAAAATACCTAGTGATCTACTCCTGTAACAATGATAGCTTAGGAAGTGCTCAAGGAAGTCCTACTCTGTCTTACAGGGCTACTCTGAGTATGAATCTACTTGACAACACATAACTATAAGTGGTACAGTAAAGAGTCATGGGTGGCTCAAACTATTGAGTGCTCAGCTATGAATCAAAAAGTATGCAACCAGAGTTACCTCAGAAGAAAGTCCTGGCAAAGATCACATCCCATAGAATCCCTATTAGCTGGACTTGACTCCATGGCAACCATTTCCTTTTTAAATGTTAGCAGTTTGTTAATGACAGTTTCAGGTAAGCAGGGAGGGCTCTGGAGCATGAAAAGCAGCCTTTGAATAGAAGCTACTAAGGGGTTCAAGGAAGACTTCCTGGAAGATATTGATCACTAACACTTGTCTTGAAGGATGACTGTATATGCCAGCGCTGGCAATCTTCCCAATTTAGGAAGGGGAGAAGGAGCATATTTAGAGGAATACACATGAAAGAGAGAAGCACGTTCTACTTGACAAGTGTGAGAGGCGAGCAGAGTACAGGAGGATAATGAAGAGAGAGGCACTGGGGCTTTGCATCAGGGAATCAGGGACGGCATGCTATGAATCTGTTCTTAAATAAAGAGTTCTATAGTGGCAGAGTAGGAAAAGAACTGCCAGCACAGGAGGGACACATGCTTTAATATCATTTGTAACTGAACATCCTCAAGTGACTATTTTTAAAGTGTAATGATTGCTACCTAAAAGTACTTTTTGAGCTTTCATCAGAGCATTGTTCTCTTTTCAGCTGTGCAAATCCAGGTCACTTCCACAAGGAGTATTCAACAGTCAGGGAAGAGAAAAATGGTGAAGCCTTGAGAATAGTGAAAGGAGGGACTGCTGGAAAGGGGGAAATGATTGTGGGTCACAGCTGACAGAACAAACACAAATGGAATCTCAGAAGAACAATGAGTGCCCCAGTTGTGCTCAAACGAAACCGTGCCCTGAGCTCCAGAGATGTGCAGTTGCTGTCTCTCTGTACACATCAGTCAGTGAAGGGAAAAGCCTGCAGGCTATTATGACACCCCAGGATTTTATAATATATACAGAGAATACTTTTCTACTATAAGCAGTTGTAAACAAACCAACCCTCTCAATATAAGAACCTTATCCAGAAATAGCAATCTAGTCAGCCTCTTCCATCATCAGCTTATTTGGCTAAGGATGAGAATTCAGGTTTTATTTTAAAAAGTATTTACAATTCTCTCACTACTGCGCTGTATAGTTTACACATTTACTCTAGACGGATGAATGAGCCATGGACCTGTCACCTTGTTTCCTTGCCCAAAGTTTATATTCTAAGTTAGAATTTGTATGTGAAGATATGTAGTTAGGAAACGAGGATTTTGCTCTTGCTGTACTTAACACTTGTAGACAATGAGAGTGCTGTGGTCAAGTTGGCAGTCACTTACAGAAGGAGCAGTGGGCACAAGATCGTTTTCTGTTCTTCCTGTCTGCATTGCTGTGTGAACTCGCACAGATTCGTAAATGGAAGGCTCTTCCACTTTCCTCGGATAAGGGTGCTTCAGGACAATCAGAGTGCCTAATACAGAACAACAACAACAGAAAACGTGGTCAAATAGTGCCACCACAAGGGAAAGAACTCGGTAATGGTGGCTGCATGCACAGTCCCCTTGTTTATTCCTGGTTCATTTTCTCAGAACTTATGGAGTAGAAACTTAGATCAGTCATTCTAGCTGGACAAACACAAACCCCAAATTCCTTATTGCCAACGAATTGATCACAACTCATAAACTGTGAGTTGGAGAACATATTGCAGTTGTCAACAATTTCATCTTACTTGGATCCATAATTAACACCCTTGGTACTAGCTAGTCAGGAGATCTACTGCACTGGAAAAGTCTGCAGTCAGGGATCTCTCCAAATTATTGAAGACTAATGATGCCACCTCGAGGACTAAGGTGTGTCTGGTTCAGGCCATGGTCATTTCAATCACTTGCTATGCATCTGAGAGCTGGACAATGAATAAGGACGACAGAAGAAGAACGATGCCTTTGAACTGTGGTGTTGGAGAAGAATGCTGAGCATCCCATGGACTGCCAATAGAACAAACAAATATGTCGTAGAGAAAGTACAGCCAGAATGTTTCTTGGGGGCAAGGATGTTGCTAGAAGAGGCTATTCCTTGAGAGGGACACTAAGCTTGGGACAGTGGAGGGTAGGAAAGAAAGAAGAGCTTCAACCAGATGGATTGACCAGTGACTGCTCAATGGGCTCTAGTGTGTCAGAGATTGTGAGGATTGCCCAGAGTAGGAAAGGGTTCAGATCTGGGGATGCTATGGATTGTCCCTGACTTGATGGCACCTAACAACAAAATCAACATAAGCTGTGTACTGAAAGTACAGAGCAATAGAAGACAAGTTCTGGCTTTCTGGTCCTCAGAACAAAGCTCTCGAGGCATAGTCCGTAGGAAGCTAACTCAGAGACCTCGCCTCTCTAGTGGTCTTAATCTGCCATATGTTCCTTGGGAGAAAGATAGGTAATCTTCTCCCATGGGATTTACAGCGTCAGACAATCAATGGAGGGTCAGCTGTGGGTCAGTTCCAACCAGACAGCAGTGAGTTTTTAAGTCTCTCAAACTACAAAGAGAAGCAGCCATGTGACTAAACAGGGTGATGAGACCAACATTAGCAACACAATCAAGGTTGGGACTGGAGAAACCTTCTGTGAGATGTTTATGACAAGCATCAAGGAAGAGACCACATTAAAGCTAAAACAATGATTGGAAATGTGTATGTGTGTGTGTGTGTGTGTGTGTGTGTGAGAGAGAGAGAGAGAGAGATAAAGTCTCTGTGTGGTGCAAATGGTTAACACACTTGGCAAAAGTTTGGAAGTTCAAGACACCCAGAGGGCACTTGGAAGAAAGGTCTGGAGATCTATGTCTGAAAAAATCAGCCATTGAAAAATCCCATGTGGCCACAGGTTCACCCTGACACTCATCGAGTCACCACAGGTGGAATCAGTTTGTTGTGTTTGTTTTTTTTTTTTAAATTTTTAAAAATTGTGTACTGGTTTACATGCAAAGTTCATAAAATTAATATATGTTGTTTTTCACATGGGATCTTTCCCCTTTCCTTTGCCCACCCCTCCCTGGGTGGAATCAGTTTGATGGCAACTAGCTATTCCAATTGTCCAGATGGACTTCACAGATGTCATGGGAACAAAACCACTGAGGTAGGAGGATTGGCTACATGTTGACCTGATGTTTCACCAATTCCAGAGGAAACTTGTAAAAACTATCAGTGAACCTTAAAAAAAGTGAGCCATAGCATGCTCACCTTCCTCCTAAACCCCAATTAACTACATAAATGAAACAAAGCCTTTGTTTCTTTTCAAACTACTAACAACATAAAACCCATTACACTGAGCAGAAACTTACTCATAGCTGACCTTCCCTGGAGTTTCCAAGGCTGTATCTGTAAGCAAGAAGGCTGTTCATCTTTCTTTTGTGGATCTGAACCACCAGAGAAGCACTGACTTTGGGTTAGCAGTGCAACTCCTACAGATGACACCAACAGAGCTCCCCCGTTTCTCTTAAATGAATGCAAAACAAACAGGCAGGTGCTTACGTATAATTGCCTCCAATGTGATCTGGAGGGGGAGAGGGCCAGGCAGAAGTAGCTCGCTCAGCAGGGCCAAGTGTGTCTTTGGGGGCTTAGGAACTTTCATCTGAGAACTCAGAATACTTCCCACTCAGCACTTCTGCCATTCCCCCCACCCCCCAGAACTTCTCTCTTCCCCCAATCCACCAGTCAATCATAAACCAGAAACTATGGCTATAAAAAAGGTAAACTGATCCCCTCACTACCATCTCCTTCTTATGACTTCTTGCTTTTTTATTTCACTGTTGTTGTTGTCTGCCGCTAAGTCAGAATCAACTCATAGCTGACCTTCCAACAGGGTTTCAGGGGCAGTTAATCACATAGAAGGAGATTTCCCCTCTTTCTCCCTAGTAGCCACAGGTTGATTTGAACCATGGGCCTTTGGGATTACAGTGCAGCTTCTTGCCACTAAGCCACTAAGAGCTATTTCACTAAGGTCTTTTATTGGAAAGCCCAAGATAAAACTAGAAACATTGTTGAGGTTATTGTTAGGTCACATTGAATCAAGTATGACTCATAGTGACCCTATGAATAAAAGATCTGAAGCCTGTTCTATCCTGTGCCATCTGCACATTTCCTGACACACAAGAGCCCATTACAGCAGCAACCACATCAATTCACTTGGTCAAAGGTCTTTCTCTTCTTCGCCAACCCTCCACCCATCCACCATCATGTCTCTTTTGCAGGAAAAGCCCCTCCTAGCAACATGTCCAAAATATGTGAGGCAAAGCCACATCATTCTTGCCTCCAAAGAGCACTCCAGTTATACCACATACCATATATAACATATTTGTTCTCTTGGCTGTCCATGGGATGTTCAGTGCTCTTCTTCAACACCACAGCTCAAAGGCATCAATTCTTCTTCTATCATCCTTACTCATTGTCTAGCTCTCAAATGTACAGTAAGTGATCGGAAAGACTTTGGCCTGAATCAGATGCACCTTAGTTCAAACTGACATCCTTACTCCTCAATAATATGGAGAGATCCCTATCTGCAGATTTTCCCAATGACATGCATCTCCTTATTTCCTGACTGCTGGTACCAAGTGTGTTAATTGTGGATACAAGTAAGATGAAGTTGCTGACAATTTAAGTCACCTCTCCATTCATCATGATGTTGCCTATTCGTCCAGTGGTACGAATCTTTTTCTTGACATTGAGACCTTTAGTTGTTGTTGCTATTGTTATGTGCCGTCAAGTCACTTGCTACTCACAGCGACCCTATGTACAACAGCCCTAAACTCTGCTCTGTCCTGTGCCAGTCGCACTGTCTCCAACACACCCATCCCGATTAACCCATTTACTGAATCAATCCACCTCATAGAGGGTCTTCCTCTCCTGCATTGTTCCTCCACCCTCCCAAGCATGATGTTCCTCTCCAAGGACCTGTCCCTCCTTACAACATGTCCAAAGTATTTTAGATGGAGCCTCAGAATCCTTGCCTCCAAGGAGCAGCCTGGTTTAACCCTCTCTAGGATGAATCTGTTTGTTGTCCTAGCTGTCCATGGTACCCTCAATACTCTTCTCCAGCACCACAGCTCAAAGGCATCAATTCTCCTTCTATCCTCCCTAGTCATTTTCCAACTCTCTGATGCATAACAAGTAATTGTAAAGACCATAGCCTGTATCAGACACACCTTAGTCTCCATTTAGGAGAGATGCAAATCATTCATTTATTCATTAACATTTAATGAAGTCTACCATGTGCCATGTACTTGTCTAGGCAATGAGTATGTTGTTGTTGTTGTTGCTGCTGTTGTGTACTCTCAAGTCACAACCAGCTCTTAGCTGACCCTCCAGTGGGTTTTCAGAGGCAGTTGATCACATGGGAAGAGATTGTCATCTTTCTCCCCTAGAGTAGCTGGTGGATTTGAACTGTGTGCCTCAGGAAATAAAAGAGATCTAGAGCCCTCTTTTAAACAGTTGTAGCTAAAGAAGACAGATGAAATAGTTTGGGGAAAATGATAAAAATTGAGTATCTTCTCTAACTCATTTTTGTACAGTTGGAACTGATTTATAACTGACCCTCCGGTGAGTTTTCAGATTCAAAATGTCTGTTTTGGGGTTGGTAGTGCAACTTCTCAAGAGTACTGAAGATAAACGGCATCAGGTTGGAGACTGGTCCTTGGAGAGGGACATCATATTTGGGAGAGTGGAGGGACGGTGCAGTAGAGAAAGACCCTCGGTGAGATGGATTGATTCTGTGAGTGGAGTGGTGGTAATGAGTGTGTTTGAGACGGCGAGGTTGGCACAGGAAAGAACGGCGTTTAGGGCTCTTGAGTCGCAAGTAACTCGATGGCACATAACAACAACAACAACGGCAGTGCAACTTCTTACCTACGAGGCCACCAGAGCTTTCCTGAATATCTTAGGTGGGGGAAATAAGTAGAAACTAAAAAACCAGGATAAAGGGATGAAGAGTGAAAAAAGTAGGATAAAGATAGGTGGTCAAGGAAGGTTGTAAAAAGATAATTTGAAGGATTCTATAAATTTCTTGGCCTCAAATTTGCAGTAAAAGACAGCTGATGAGGAAAGGAGGAAGGGGTGGGGGAATATCTCCTCAGCAGTTAAAAATCCCTAAGTAATAATAATAAAATAAAAAATCTTCCTAAGGAACAATGTGCTGGCTGCAAAAACAACCACGGCTTCTGAGCCCTGGGTCTGACAAAGTACTGCTGTAAAACGCAAAGAAAGAGTGCTGAGAAGAGCTGCTCTGATCTTGGCCCCAAAGTAGAACGAGAGCCTCTAGTCTCTTTTCTGCATCTAATTGATGTCAGTAGCATGGGGATCACAGTGAAAAATGGCTTTTATAGTTATCAGAAGCCCCAGGCCTGCTTTTGCAGTTGCCACATTGTCTGTGCTGTCTTTTGTCGATGTGATCCTTTCATGGGAACCAATCCAGTCAGAGAAAAAGAAGGGGC